TTGATTAAGAACAACAGGCTTGGGTTTCTCCTTCACTGGAACCTTAGAGGTTGGAATCTCAGGTTTCATGTCAGGCTGTTTCTCTGTCAACATTTCCTTTGGTTCTACAGGCTGGTTCAGTACAACAGGCTTGGGTTGCTCCTGTACAGGAACCTTGGGGACAGTTTTTTCTTTATTGTCAAGTGTTGGATCTTGTCTAGTCGAAGCCTCTTGTGATGGTGATGGGACACCTTCTGGTTTGCCCTCTTTAGTCAAGGGTGCTGCTGTTTCTTTTTGCTTTTCCTTGGCTTCTTCTTTGGTTTCTGCAGGTTTAGCTGTAGTTGTGGTATCCTCAGGTTTGTTGCCAACAGGCTCCTTAGATTTGTCTGGAGCACTGGCTTCCACTTTTACTGGTTCTCCTGCACCTTCGGCTTTGGGTGTTAACTTTTTCTCGCCTACTTGTTGTTCTAGTGCTGGAACATTTTTTCTACTTGTGTCAGGAGAAGAAGCTCCTTCTTTAGGCTTAGCAAAAACATCAGGTGCCTCATCAAAGTACCCTCCCTCTTTATTCTTTGGACTTCCAGTTCCCTATAAAATTAATAAAAACATTTAATAATAAGGTCRCTAAACAAGATGACAGTCTCAAATTAGATACTAGGGACCTTAAGATTTGCATAATCTACGACGGCGACGACTACCGGAAGTGTAAGTAACTTTACTTTGGGGTTTCGCGCCTTCAAAGTCTGTCTTCCCTGTGGATGAGTTGACTTCACTGACAATGTTTTTGAATGAAATCTCCAATGAACAGAACCCCAAAAGAGAAATTATTTACACTTCCGGTTGACGTCGCCGTCGTAGATTTTGCAAATCTTAAGGTCCCTACTATGATATGCTTTACTGCATSCTAACTTGGGCATAATGTTTTTCCCATTTCAGACCAAGTGTCATTCTCTTBAGAATAAGATTCTTTGTTTGAGCTGTATCCATATTTATGCGTCTTCTCAAGCACAACCAAGAAAACAAAGAATTATACTCAAGGGAGAGATAACTAATAAATTTTGATAAAAAATAAAAACACCCGAATTGATGAATGGTATATGTATATTACTTAAAAAAGAAAAAATATAATATATAACAATTCAATTTTCCTAAAAAAATGAAGCCAGCAAACTTTGATATGCACTTTGAAAGCGTTCAACTATAATTAGATATATACCTGAGACTGTCCAAGAGTCACTGAYGTTGGCAACTGTGATGCTTGAGAAGCTATGTTTTCTGAAGACCACGGAGAATCTAGAATTGCCTTGTCAATGATGATCTCTGAACCACTTTGACTGCTAGAGGCCTCCAGGATCTTGTTGGATTCTACTATGACTCTTCTCAAATGATCCCCAAATAGCTGCTTGTTTTTTTCTTGTAAATGGGCCGCTTTAATCTATACAGATAAAAAGAAAATATGTATGCTATTTACTGGCTAGGAGGTCCGGATAGGG